CAGAGGTGGAGGCCTCCGTTTTTAGTTGTCCCGCTCCTACAGTGCTGCCATTGGCAGTATCACTCCACCCCTGTTAACAATAGGTGTTAATTAGGTGTCAACAATAGCCTCCATGTGACTGATACTCACATCACATGGCTATCGTTGACACCTAATTAACACCTATTGTTAACAGGGGTGGAGTGATACTGGCAATGGCAGCACTGTAGGAGCGGGACAACTGAAAACGGAGGCCTCCACCTCTGTTTAATGATGGACGGTCTTTCTTCACAAAAATGGCTTCTTTTACTCCTCTCTCATTAGAGAAGAACCCGTCCAGAAGAACTATTCAATTTTTTTCTTTTTGATTTTTTACCTGGATTACWGAGATGCATCAGGACTACATAAAAAATGTCTGAGCTCAAGATGTCAAGATTTCATTTAAAGGCAGTCAGGACTGTAGAGGGAGATGATGGAAAGTGACATGGAAACATTCAAATRAAAATTATAACCTCACTGACCAAGATTTGCTAAAGTGACGAGAGCAGAGAACACGTGCCGGTGGAGGTTTTGCATGGTAAACAAATAGGGAGGGCAGAGCTTTTTGAACACCTTTGCAAACATTGCTCTGTAATGATTACTTAACATGTTCCTCATCYGAAATAAAAACAACAGCATTAAGAAGCACACCCTGTTCTCGGCAAGTAGACAAGAAGAAATTGTTAGTACACACATCAACTGAGTGTGCAAGGTATTTGTTTAAATTTAAACCACAACTCTTTGGAGTCAACTCTGTCAGCCAGTTAGCAAAATGTCTCATGGACCACTCAACAGATTTCATCAAAACTTTCAGGAAATATTCAATGAATTAATAATTTCAGTTGATAAACTGTTACAGACAATTCAAATTAAGATGGCTACTACAGCCAACTTTCCTTAAAAAGCACAAATAGTGCCACAATTAAATCCATTTTGCAAATACTGCACCAAAATTTGGYGTGGTCAAAGCTAAGAGTCATTCCCAACGTATAGTATAAGTGCTGCTTATTGCACAAGATTTTTACTTAAAATTTTAGCAATAAATCGTGTCTTGTTTTAATGTCTGTTTATGTAGGTGCGCAAACACTYCTGTGTTCGTTTATACCCACTGACCGTTTTTTTTTTTTTCTCCAAATGCCACAGAACTTCTTTTGGCAACAAGTTTGTGTGTTTTAGATCGTGGCAGAAGTCTGGGTCTTGGCAGGACCACAAAGGCCTGAGGCAGTTCCAACAAAGCTTTACTGAACCTAACAAAAATCCATTTGAGTCAGCATTAGAGTTGTATAACTTTCTCTTTGATTCCAGCACATCTCGACCCAAAAGGTTCAAGATGCTGACATTAGGCTCACAGTTCCTACCCTGATRATGCTGCAGGAACAGAAGGGAGAGGAGAGAGGATTAAAATAATAATGTGGCCTGACTGTTTCCTCCACTGGTGCCGGAGTGTTACACTGTTGTTCAATAGAAACGTTTTGTAAAACTAGCCGCCCACGCTTCGGTAAGAAGGTGGGAAGTGATTTTTTTTAGTGAATAACAATGAGGTATGACACACATTTTATTGTATASAGGAAAGTGGATGGTAAGCAGTACTGAAACATGGTCCACTTCAACAAAAATCAGCTTATAGGAGAGGGGAACTCTACTTTGTTTTCTTAAGAAAATCTCTCTGAACCTTGTGACATTTTTCARTCAGACCGAATATTTGTCGAGCTTGTCTTTGTTGTGCTGACTCAGTGCAGTGTCAACACTTTTTCTGTATTCAGCATTTATCTGACAACAATCCACTAGAAGGGACAATATTGAAATAGAAAAGAACATGATTCGATTTAAGTTCACTCTGGGGTTTAACTAAATCTAAAGTTTCTTTGAGGATTTGTGTGCCTAGAGACTTTTCCCAGGGTTTATATTAAAAACCAAGGCACATAAAAAACAGAGAATAAATGTTGGTTCTATGATGTTTACTCAAGAGACCATTATTGTTTCATGTTTAATTTTGTGAACAGTGAAGCAGAGTTTACACTGTATTTTAGCCAGTCAAAATATTATTATAAGAAAAAAATTACCCTCAAATATTAAGTAAAAAAAACTGTTTCAAGAGAATTTTTTTTCCTGAAAACCTCCTTTTTAAACCAGTCTGAATGAAAGGTTTGTAATTCAAGGAATAAGTTAGTGGAAAAGTCTTGCTACTATTATAATAAATCTCTAAAAATATTTATGTGTAAAAAGATGATTAAGTCAAAATTATTGGGAAAATACACCATTTGTAGAAGTTAGTGGAAATAAGATACGAAGATGTTTTATGTTTTTGTTTTATATTTTGTAAATATGGAGATTACTGAAGCTTGGGCTTGTTGAAGTTGTTTTTAGAAAACAAGGGACAGATAAAATAAGATTTATTTTCTTCATTCTGCACCCTTTTCATTCACCTCATAATTTATTTTTATTTCACTGTATATAAA